GAAAGCAGCATGCTTTTTTAATATAAAGTCCTATCAACCAGGTAAAACCTGTCAACGCTACATCATTTAAAATATGTACAGTTCCAAACATAACATTACAACTTTCAGGAAAAGAAAACACACTTTTCAATAGGATACAAAAACATGCATCTCAAAGCCATTACTTTAAAAAAACAGAGCAACACAGGTGGAATGCACCACGAGGTCAAGTTCCTGGCAGTACTCTACCTGGAATGAGCTCTCTGTGACATGGTCAGCCTGATACAGACGTAGTGGTCTTCACAGACTCACTGCACAAACACAAAGCCCAGAAAGAAATGCTTTTGGAAAAGACCACTTCACAAGGTGTTTAAACATTGCGAGTTCATTTACATCCTCCACAGCACCTGTCAGCCGACTACCAGTACCTAGTGGGTAAAAGGACACAGTGAAATGATACAACAGGAGCGGGGGCGGAGTTTGACGCTAAAACAAAGAACCACAGAGAATTCTAAGACGAGAAGGAACATGAAGAGGTCTGACCAAAGATGTGCTCACTAAGCCCAGGGACGATCCCGTTCCCGGGGGGGGCGGCGGCGGTGGTGGTGGTGAGGGCTGTCACCGGGAGACTCCGGGAAGACCAAGTGATAAGCACGGAGCTCTGCCCGCGTGGGACAGAGGGTAACTTCTGGGCTTCAGGGTCACAGTCAGAGGAACCACGCGGCAGGGGTGGGCGAGAGCGTGCGGAACTGGGCTGGCTCCATCGCAAGAGGGAACCGCATGCTTTTGGAAAGCAGTCTGGAAAACTGGAAGGAGCTCAGATTACGGCTCCGGGTAAATCGGGTTGAAAGGCAGGCTCTGTGGTGGGGGGGACTGTGTTGGAGATTTGTTGGGAGGGTTAACGAGAGAGCACACAGCAGCACCGAAAACGGAGCCTGGTACACAGCGGTCACGCCACAGATGCTGCTGTGTCCTGACTTCCTGGGGAAGCGACACCAGGCAGGACTGTTGTTGGTGACGGTGTAGGTCATACAAGTTCCGAACAACTCAAGGTTAGGGAGAATGCATAACTCCTGAACGGTAAGGCAATTATATATATATATATATATATATATTTATATATATATATATATTTATATATTTATATTTATATGTCTCAATATATAAAAGCACTTTTTATAAATAAAATACAATAAAAGGGATAACACTTAAAACAGCGTTACTAATAATATAAATAAAAGCAGTCCACAATGAGATTGCCCTAAAGATAAAGTCGTCTTCTCTTCCTAGTGGACAAATCCCATATTCAAACTCAATCTTTAAAAGCAGTTTATGACCTAAGGCTCATGCTAGTACACCTCTGTTTCCTGAATCAAAATGACTGCCCACAGATATCTACTCCCCAGTTTTCTAAAACCCCCTTTGTGACAGCATGGCTGTATCTTGGTTGGCAAAACACAGGGTATGTTTTCATATTCTGTGCACTAGGACTCTGTCCTTTGTTAGTCACACAAGTAAGGGAGGCAGCTATCCCCCTCCAAAGCTAATTGCATCTACACCACATGAAGAATAAATTCAGTATACTCTTAAGTACGGACACTGGGAATGCAGAACTTGATTCTACAGTATCCCTAAAACCTGACCCTGAAATCATACTCACTACATTCTACTCAAAGTCATTCTTGCATAGTGACCCAGCTCAAACAGCGTATTTCACTAACAGCTCTATTTATAAGATACGTAGGCATATATAAGGGGATACTGATTTACATAAACAGTTGATTAACATAGTATTCTAGTCTATTTCACTGCAATTTCTGGGAAACTGTGAACTTTTTTCATTTATGCTGAAACTGCCTGACTCTACATAAAGAGAATCATTTTCTAATTTTTTCCCCAAAGGGATGCACAATCCAAAAACAAGCAGTGATCTACTGAAGCTTGACTCAAGCTATTAAAATAGCTATTAAATAGGAGTAGTGTTTTCTCGTGGGATTTTTTTTTTTTTTTTTTTTTTTTTAGATGTGGAGAAGAAAAGCCTTCCAAAGGCAGCTGCAAATGTCCTTGTCACTCAGAGGGAGCCGTAACTATGATTTATGGGCTCTGCGAACCAAAGCTTCAGGTGTGTGTTTACAATGACGACATTCTAAAAAAAGTCAGGAAATTTCAAACCATACCCCTTTCCCTCCAAATTAAATCTTTTCTGACACTCACATCTTCCAAGTGTTGCCCATGTTGGAAGCTTGAAAAATAATAATTTTCGGGTGGCATGACACCGAGAGCACAATGTGCGTCTTTCTTTCCAAGTCGCCACTTTAAATTCATTTTGTCCTACTCTTAGAAACAGTCAGAAAGAGCCCTACAGTGACAATCTAATAAACCAATCCAATTTTAATGCAGTGGGACCTGAGGGCTATCTTTTTCTCTCCAGCCGTGGTCCCCTATCTGCATGCAGCAATAACCCCACAGACCTTAACCTCAACCATGTTCATGACACCATCTGTGACTAGTGCCTAGAAAACCAAACATCATTTGTGCTCGTGTGCAGACGGAGAGTCGACAAGTCACCTATCACTTCTGTGGAAGGCACTCATACAATTCATAAGACACCTGCTATTACAAACACTAGGTTACAACTGAGCGTGACTTCCAATGTTCTCAGAAAGTCTGATAACACAATACATCAAAGAATAGCTTTCCATCTGAAAACTTCAGTTCCCTCTTAGCCACACTGGCCAATAGGCTGGATCCTTGCAGGAGGAGCTCTTATGGCCACTGAGGTTCTCAGAAACATGGAATGATCCCACCGCTCTCAGATGATTGAAAACTACACAAAACTAGGTTGTTTCCTACGGGAGGGGGAGGAAGGAAGAGGGAAATTTTAAGGCATAAATAATACAAAAGGGCACACACTTTAAGATACATTCATAGGACATTACTACTACAAAAAATAAATAATGATTTTCTCTGACTTGAATTCATGTCCTTCACACACAGTCCATCCCCAGGCCTGTTTGTGCAGTTACTGGCTTAAAGTGGGAACATGACTGGTCATTTGCACACCTCAGGTTTCTTGGGGTTGCTGAAGGATCCCTGCAGGGCTGTCTAAAGGAATGCCAGGAGGAGACCAGGTGGTCTTTTCAGTACAGTCCTTGGACACAAGGGGCAGAATAAGAGGATTCCAACTTAAAATTTTGTTCTCTGTTTCTGAATGGACACAGCTGTCTCCTGAAAAACACAAAGGTTTGGGAGCATTATGAAATCAGAAAGGCAGATTTTGACAAAACAGTCTCACAACATTACTTTGAGCAATAAAGAAAGAGTAACAAGTAAATGTAGAGCCCAGTTACGCTGAGTTTGACTTTGAGAAAGAAAGTAGGTTTCAAAGATTTAAAATAAGGTTGGGCTCTCATGAACAGTTGTACAATTCACCTGAGGGCTAAAGCAAACCCCTGAAAATCCCGCAAATAACCGCTTTAAGGAAAGGCTACAACTCCAGAAGCAACTCAAACGATAAAAAAGGCCTATGATCATAAAATACATTCTTCCAGCAAGTCTACTGTTCAGGCACAAACCAAATCAAAGCCCATTTGGATTTATTCTCCAAAATGTAATGGGATTAATAGCCTGAGATGAAGGACATGAATAACAGAACTTCACAGAATTCCTTATATAGTCACTTTTTCAAAGTCCCCAATACCTCCCACCCAATATTTAAAAAATATGTGAGTTGATCACAGAGAGAACATCCTGAAAGCAACTGTCCTCACATAGGTCTTAGCTAACTGAAGACCAGCTAGAAACTTAAGATTTATAATGTCTCCCGGTACCTCTGTTGAACTCTGCTGTATCTTCTGAGCACTCAGAGTTGACCTCATTCCTACTGTCCCGACAGCAAGTATGCTGAGCAGGTCTCGGTGCCATGTCGTCTTTGAAACCCTCCTCAGGTGACTGGCCACCGTCGGGAACTGTGGAAGCCAGACATGCAGGCATCTTCATGTGACTGAGGGGCTTCATTTCCAAACCATCCTGAGGATAAGGTGCTACCACTGGGACCACAGGAAGGGGGCTGACGCTGAAAGTGCTGTTAGTTTTGGTGAAACACCTACGAAATACAACCAAAAGAAAAAGAACTGTGTCTAGAGGGATCAATAATTAAAATACACTTAAAAAAATCATTAAAATACGCTTATTTTGAAGTACCACTTGGTATTTTGTATTCACAGATTCTTAAGAAAGATTAGTGCTCAAAAATAATGAAATGATTCACTATGATTTGAAATATTAAGAACTCAAAAACTACAGTTAAAATGGAATACAGCAGAAGAATACACCACTTAAGAATAAAACCATATGTGGGGCACCTGGGTGGCACAACTGGTTAAGAATCCGACTCTTGGTTTCAGCTCAGGTCATGATCTCAGGGTCATGAGATCAAGCCCCGAGTTAGGCTCCGTGCTGAGTGTGGAGTCTGCTTAAGACTCTCTCTCCTTCTCCCCCTGTTCCTCCCCCACATCTCTAATAAATAAATAAATCTTAAAAAAAAAATAAAACCATATGTGAGGACCTATCTCACAGGCTTCCTTTGCCTTCTGAAATTGTCTTCCATTTCATAATTAACTGGTTCCTGAATATAGCACACAGAAGAAAAAGGCCGTTGGCCACTGGAAGGAATGGGGGAGAAAAAGAAGAGAACAGAAAGCTAAGAAACCTATGGCCACATGAGAGGACTAATCTCATGAAAGCCAACAAAAACGCACAGCTTTGAAATCAGATAATACGTTCCCTCTCACCCTTGAAAAAACACTACATGGATTAGACATTCAAAATCCAGGTTTTGTTTATTTTAAAATTTTTTTCTTTGCAGAGCTAGTTGCTAGAATTTATTAGCACTGAGCATTTCAATTCTGCTCTACTTTTATTTCCTGCCCTCATCTAAGATACGTGTTTTCTTTTTTTCTTTCTCTTCTTCAGACTGGATAATTTCTATTGATCTTCTAGTTCCCTGATTCTTTCTTCTGTTATCTCCAATCTGCTGTTAAGCTCATTCAGTAAATTCTTCATTCCAGTTAATTGTACTTTTCAGCTTTGGAATTTCCATTTGGTCCTTTTTATAGTTTCTATTTCTCTGCTGCAATTCCTCATATGTGAATTCATCATGTGTTTATCTTCCTTTAGGTGCTTGAACATATTTATAATAGCTGCCTTAAGTTACCGCCTGCTAATTGTGATAGCTGTGTCACCTGAGGGTCTGTTTCTATTGGCATTTTTTCCATAAGTCTCACATTTTCCTATTTCTTCACACATATAGTAATTTTTTTTTACTGTTTTTTTTCCCTCCTCTAATTTTCTGGTTGTTCTGTTGGTCTTGAACTCCATCCTCTGACACCTTCTGTTTGTGTCCTTTACCCAAGACTGGAGAATGCCCTCCTGCAAAAATCCATGAACAAATGTCAGACATTGTCTTTCAAGTTTAGATTTATTCAGTTTCTGCCTGCTTCTGGTTATTCTCCAATACTTCCAAATGGTCCAGATTTCATCATTATTACCCTTGGATGATTGAGTTATTCCATCATTAACAGAAGCTGGAATTACAGAAATATATTTTTTATTTCCATAATTTTAAGAAGAGTCTCACGAAGACATTTCATTTGGTTTTGATTTAGGTATGTTAGGTAGGAAACACATAGCACTGACTAGTAGTATGATGTAGCTAGGCAATGTTAGGGAATAAAGGTAAGAATTCTTTGGATTTCCACCTTTTTAACATGGAATGGTACATTTCTGGGGCATATGAAAATCAGTAAAAGGAATCCAAGCAAATGTTACTAGCATCTCTGTTGGTTCAAGTTATTGGAAATACCAAATGCTAGACAGCAAGAAAGATCTGAACCTGAAAGAGAGTAAGATATCTGTCAGTAAACCAGATCCTTAATTTAAGTAAGTCCAATATTAATTTCAAATAGAGAAATATACTTACTATACATTTAGTGGAATTCAGATACTCGTCACCTGAAATGAAAGCAAAGTATGTGAGGCATTCATTTGTACAGAATAGTTTGAGTAAAAGATTATTTAATAGGACTGTATTTTAAGTTTTAATAATATAGAAATATATACCTGATTCAAATAAAACCCAACTGTTTCCATGCATGTCTTAAGCCAATAAAAAATGAAGGAAGCACGAGTATAGAAGGAAGTTTGCTGGAGGCAGAATCAGAGCTTTGGACTAGATAGATCATGATTCCAGGAGAGTATGGCATTCCTTATTTGTCCCATGCTACATTTTATTCTATTCTAAATTTTAAAAGCTTTCCTGGGATGCTGGCAAAGGTGAGCACTAATCTCCTGACAGCCTTTTAATAATGTCTGTGTTATTGGGTTCTTTCCTTCTTGGATTTTGTCAGGTCTCTTCCACTGTCCCAACACCCAGGGAACCTGAGAATCCCCCTGAATTGTTTTCAGTTCATGGGGATCAAATATAGACTCTAAGCAAGGTATTTACCCAAAATGTGGGGCATGGTCAGAGGCAAAAACAAAAGAAAACAAAACAAAAAACAAATAAAACAAAAAACCCACAAAAACCCCACCTTTCTGAATTCAGACACTACTAATGAAAATTTAATGGATACTATCCATTTATATAAATAACCTTACCTACAAGACCCTTTTATTCTAAAAGCATCTGCTGAACAACTTCTAAATGTCAGACACTGTGGTAGACACTAAAAATATAAAGGTAAATACAGCATATTTCCAGCTTCCAGTCAAGCAGAGGAGATGGGACAAGTAAACAAATGGTTACAGTGTGATGCAGTGTTATATAATAAGATATAAAAGACACTGTCAGCACCCACCTGTGAAATGGGTAGTAGTATGTGTGGCTGATGAGAAAGAGCACTTCCCATGTGACCAACTAGAGACCAGTGTCTATTCTTTCCTACTCAACTGTCTTATAGTCAAGGAAATTACGTTAGGTAGTGATTATTGAGTTAGAGAATAAGAAGGATTCCGATTTCCCAAAACCAGAATTATCTCTGTTCAGGGGTATCTATGTGGCTACCATGATTTGTTGGAAATAACTTCTAAAAATTAAATTGCTGGTTTCTAGCTCTGACTGATTAGTTTGTATCAGAAGAACTCTCCTGCCAAGGACAACTACAAAGGATGGAGAAAGTTTTATTTTAAATCTGCTGAAGTCATCAGAGGGCAACTACCAAAGCAAGCACCTGAATGGCTGAGATTCCAGAGAGAAGGTAAATGTAAACCTGAGTTTCAATACCACTTTTCCTCTTGAGGCATTTGCCCAATTCAGTGCAAAAAGAAAAGGCTAAGACATCAAGCAAAAGGTGGTGGCTACAAAGCTAAGAAGCCAAGCAGGACTCCCGACACTATGATGGCACTGGGAAGATAGAAACTGGAGTTCAGAGTCTCCTAAAGAGAAAAAGATGTTCAACTGGGACCCTTGAAGGTTTATGCTATAAAAATAATGGTGAAGTAGAAACAGACAATGCTTTTATAGACACTGAAACTCATCAGTAAAACAGGTCCATCCCTAATTGGATGAAAATCATTTGCCCCTTGCCAAAACCAATCCTTCTCTGGAGGGAGAAAACCTCCTCCAGAGCCTCTGTGAGTTTTTACATGCAACGCCCAGAATTCACAAAAAGTTACCAGGCATTTCAAGAGAAAGAAACAAGAGAAAAATAAGTGATGCATATACTGACTTAGGAGGCAAAGACTTTGAAAGACCTGGATGCATATATTCAAGAAAACCAATGACAAGACAAAGAATTTTAACAGAGACCTAGACTCTACTATTGGAATATCTATCCTAAAATGTAGAATAACTGAAATTGAGAACTGAATACACGGGGTGAAGAGCTAACTGGGCACAGATGAACAGAGGTCCACTGCACATGAAGCAGGCATTGCACACCATTCAGACTGAAGTATAATAGAAAGGATGGGAAATATAGAAGGAAGTTTAAAAGACATGTGAGGCATAGTGAAAAGCTCAAAAATGTATATAGTTGGAGTCTCTCTGAAGGAGAGAAAAGAGAATGGGACAGAAGCCATATCTGGAGACATAAGGGCTAAGAATTTGCTAAAACCAATGAAAGCTCCAGCACAGATTTGAGAAGTCATATGAACCCCAAGCAGAATAAATACAAAGACAATTACACTTTTGGATGGGAATAATTAAACTGCTGAAAGCAAAATACGATGTGAAAATTGTAAAAGCAGCCAGAAGAAACAGACATTATTACTTTAAAAGGGAACAGTACTAGCTGCACAGATGATTCTCTTCACCAGAAATGACAGAAGCAATAATGCAACACTGTTAAAGTACAAAAAGAAAGTAACTGCCAGCCCGGAATTCAATAAACTACAGAAAGGGTCCTTCAAAAAGGAAGATGAACTGAAGGCATTTTCAGACCAAAACACTGGGAGAATTTGTGACCCTCAGACCTGTACTATAAGAAATATCAAAGGCAGTTTTTCAAGTTGAAGGAAATGAATGCCAGCAGGCGCAAGAAAGGAAATACAGAAAGGAACAAGAAGAAAGGTAGTGTTAGGAATTCTGAATAAATACTGACTTCTAAAAACAGGAACTGTAATGTCATAGAGGGTTTTAATTATTTGTAGAATGAAGACCTGTGACAAAAATAACACCAAACCCTAGAGAAGGAATGGAGTTAAAAATGGTCTAGGAAGTGGTAAAGTACTATATATACGGGACTCTGATTCAAGTCATAATGTCCAGCACCAAGCCCATAGTTCATGGCACACCGTATGACCTCGAAAACATCAGATTTTTTTTTTACTATCCTTTTTCTTAAGTAAATTCACTATCGGGGAGTAGAGGGGGCCATGACTAAACTAATTGGAAAATACCTTGTAATACCTTGTTAATGCCCAATACTAAGGTAAGACATGTCCATTAAAGTGAGAATGAACAGATACACTTACTCCTGAAGCTTTTTGTATCCCTGTAGTAGTTATCTCCGTCCTTGTTCAATACTGGCTCTGTTGTCTGGGTTTCCTTTTATCTGTTGGTTTCAAAGTTGTCTGACTTAGAACTTCAATCTCCTTGAGGGCAGGCAATGACTGTCCTCAGTGTCAGAGAAAGCTCTTAAAACAGTGAGACATACAGCACACACAGTCAGGTCCTTAAAAAAAAAAAAAAAAAATTCCTGACGGTGATGCTGTAAAACTAACCGAGCTTCTGGCTTGATGCCTCATTTCTCCGCAAGAATCTGGAAGTCACACAGAGGTCCTAGAAACCTAAAAGACCAAAAGGGGTCATCAGGTCAGAAAGGAAAGTTTTCATTTAAAAGAAGCAAAGTTAAACTGTAGGGAAAACAAAAAAATACTTGCCAGAATTAGAAAAACCAAGGAAGTTCCCTAAAACCAAAATTTTATAAATTAATAATTTGTTTAGGTAGATAGAAGATGAATGAAATTTCATCATGTTAACATAAAATAATGAAGACTCACCGGATAGTAAGAAGCCTTAAATTCTTCTGTTTCTTTCCTTCTAGTTTCTTTTTTTCTGTTCATTTCTTGCATTTAAAGCAAAGGATGAGATTTTTAAATGAAGTGTAAGGGCGGCCCTAACAGTCTGAGTGTGAGGCACCTCTGTGAGGCAGTGGAGGTGAATTGCATGGGTGGGGCAGGACCGAAGGGATGGCCAAGACAGAGGGGCCATGGCCAACTATGACGGATGATAACCCGGTTTTTCTGTGTCGGAATAAACACACAGATTAAATACACAAGATGTTTTAAAATAAATGACATATATTTAACAAGAAAAAAAAAGTACAATTTTACTATTCCCTGTTCCTTGGTATCTATTTTTCAGCGAAGTGAAATAGGAGATGACAGTCGCCGTTGACTTTTGTTCTGATTTGTGACTCTCAGTTCACAGAACGGTGTTGACAGTAAGACCATCCTTCGAGTTAGATGACCCACTTTCCAACAGGATAAACCAAACTGATTTAAAGTTTTCTAGTACACCAAATCCTGACTCCTAATCATCAGGAATTAACCATTTAGATAACCACATGTAAATAATTCCATTCTATTCCAGGTATCTACATGTGTTGGCATAAAAATGGCTTCAACTTAGGGGTTATGTGCTAAGACACAAGCATAGAGGTTGTACAAAGTATATAAAAAAGGAATAGGGGTGCCTGGGTGGCTCAATTGGTTAAATGTCTGCGTTTGGCTCAGGTCATGATCCTGGAGTCTTGGGATCAAGCCCCGTGTTGGGCTCCCTGTTCAGCGGAGAGTCTGCTTCTCCCTCTGCTCCTCCCCCCTGCTCGTGTTCTCTCTCTCTCCTTCACTCACTCTCTCTCTCTCAAATAAATAAAAATCTTTATAAAATAAAATTAAATTTAAAAAATAAAATAAAAAAGGAATATAATACCTGTTCTGAATAGAATTAGGAATATAGCATGTGAGAACAATTTTACTGATTAATACTTGAACTAAAATTTCCAAAGCTTGTCAGGTAATCACATAAAAAAATATAAAGACCCAAATCTATAGGCAGTGAAAAAGAACAGGTCAAATGAGTCTATCTGCAAATATCTGACATTCATCAAGATGCTCTTATAGTGCACATTTTACAGTTCATATAGTCAAAGAGTTTGTAATTTCACTGCCTTAGGCTTCTCAAATAACCCTTCAATTGCAGTTGTTATTGGCTTAAGGTAGAGTGAAGGTTTTCACGGAGTTGTCTCTGGCTCAATGAAACTACTTTTCTTAATTTTAAGTTTAAAAACACTGAGTAAATAGAACTCTGGACATCTTGCCACATACAAAAATGTGTGCTAAAATGAATTCAGATGGTCTTAGTTTACCAAGATATCTTTCAGTTAACAGGAAAGACCTGACAAACCTGTAAGATGGAAAAATGACTATTATAGTGTCATAAAAATAATATTCTTGAACCCACCGTCTGAAGAGCACACACTAGGAAACAAGAGATTGGAGTAGTGGCATAGAATTGTGCTTGGATGAGTATGTTGCTTTAGTATTTGACTAAATGTATTTTGGACATTCTAGCAAAATTATCTAGGACCTCGGAAATATTTTCTAGTGAAGTGTTCCACTTCTGTATACACAGTTGGATATTTGTTAAGCATGATTACATACAGAATTACTCCGATTAGACACCTGCATAAATTGTGCATTAAGTTTCCTCTTTTCATTATCCCTAGAGGGCAAAGACTGGCTATCCATGAATTTCTTGGATGTGTGACACTTACGTTCATGAGTATGTTCTTGAGACTTCTGAAACGGTCACATCTTGGTGGTGGTTTGTATTAATATTCGGCTCACTTCTGTTTCCTCTTGCCTCGGTGTCTCTGTCATTTTGCTGGCCCAGCCCTTATTTTTGGAGGCTCATCAGTTACTATGCAACAGAACCCTGATGACATTCCCCAGTGGCCATGGCTGTCCCCCACTCTCATGGTATACTCTTTAATGGGAGCTGCCCTTTGGGAATTACCTTACTGGGGATTGTCACATAATAGGTGACAATAAATGACTGAGTACATTACTGAACATGACAAGTTTACACGCATGCTATCTTACAAATAAAAAGACCAAAAAACAAAAACAAAATATCTTATCCTAACCACCTGACTCCCTCACAACGGGCCCTCGGTCTCCATCTTTTAGGTAGGAAATATAGAACTTCCCCAAAAGGAAGGTATTGAGCAATTTTAAAAACCAGACACAGTGCTGTGAAGTTTTTTCCTAGGGGACCAGGCAAGATTACCACAGACGGAAAAGAAACGAAGTTTTAGGTTTTGTGTGTTTTCTGCCTTTGGTTTTTATGGCTTAGTTCTGAAGTAGCTATGGGATCAGCCACAGGAGACGGATTGAGTCATAACAATTCACTTGCTGGAAGAAAGGATTTAGGCATACTCAACAAGTAGTCATTTTCACAAACTTAACAAACCAGCTGGGTAGCTCAACTCGTAGGCCAGAAAGAGCCAGTACTCTAACGAAATGTTTGCATGCTCATCTCTACACACTATTTCTATCTACGTGGAAGGTTCCAAGTTGGTGAAAGAGTGTCCCCAAGCCCAGCAACACACAGACTTTCAAGGTCGTCATCAGCAAAACCTTGGAGATCATTCATGGTATCTGTGCTTCCTAAGGCACTAAGTAATTTTATTTTTCCTTTTGACCATCAGCCATGTATAGCTTGCGCTTTTTTCCCCAGATGGATTATATACATATTTCCAAGCTGATTTTTACTTGGCTACTTCCTGCCCACTTCCAATCTCGTTAGGACCCTTAATTTCTTATTCCTTCCTGATGGGACCTCTCAGTTCGTTCGTCTGTGAATTCCATCAGTGTCCTCTCTACTCTTTTACAAATTATCAAGACTGATGGTAAACAGGCAGGACTTAACGTCAATCCTTTCCCATTAAACTCACCAAGCAACTGACAAACCCCAGTTGATTACATATCCAGAACTGTGCCACTGCCTTTTAAATTGAGGAGAGGAGAAGAGAGGAAGGAGAATAGAAAGCTTTTGATTTATTTGATTAAAATCTGTTACATTCTTGAAATGCACAAGGATTTCTCAATTAAGTCTTTAGTGTAGGGGTCTGGCTCCTCACAAAGCTGCATTCTATATGCCTCTTTCTAGCTGTCCATGGTGACCTATTACATATCATTCTTAAATTGTGAAAAGCGTTCAAATTAACTGAATACAGTGAAGCAGGCAGTCATTTACAACATGCCACAAAAGCACTAGAAGCAAATAAAACTCCACAGATGCTGGAATGTACATTCCCCTCTTACTTGTTCTCACATTTTCACATCAGTACTCCAATTTAGACAATAAATGCAACATTTTCTCTCCAGATAGTTATTACCAAAACAGAGGGGATGATAAAAGGGGTCTAAGGCTGGCACTGACTTGTTTCTTAAGAGCCCACTCTACAAAATATATTTAAGTTTAAACCCAAGAAGGCATGGCAGGACACTATGCAGCTAAGATTACAGAGGGGGCAAGCCCTAAGCAAGACTTCCTCAGTTCTTAGGCACCTGTGGAATACGAGAGCCACCCTGGGTAAAGGTGAGTTTGATGTGGTGTCTAAAAGGATGACTCCCAAGGGTGTGCCAAGGGGTAAACAGTTTGTCCTCCTCTCCTGCAGTGATTCCTAGCTCAGTGGTTGCACGCAGTTACCTAGATAGCCCCCTGCCGGCCTCCTCAACCGATCCCTAGTGTCTTTTTTTTTTTTTTTTTTTAATTAGCACCTCTTAAATCTTGCAAACTCATGTACTTCTCTTCATGTCTACTGCAACCGTCCTAGGGCACAGCTTCTCCTCTGAGCTATTGCAACAGCCATCTCACTGGTCCCCTGTAGCCTCTCTTGCCCCATCCAATGTATTCTCCAAACTCCATCCAGAATGTTCTAGCACAATACTGTCATTCTTAAAATCTCTTGCTGACTCACCACGGCTCTGTATGACCTACTTTCACTCACCTTTTACCTCTGACCCCTTCGCTTGCTTGGTTCCTGCCACATTAGTCTTCCTGAAGCTCTGTTTGGATCCTGGCATTCTGCTTTACAGGTTTTGCATAAATGGTACCTTGGACAGTTTTAAACCTATCCCCTTCTCTTTTACCTAGTTTTACAAATTCTTCAGAGTTTCAGAGCAAAATGTCGCTTTTATGATTTATTTATATCATTTTGAAAAAAGGTTATGTCTCCCCATCAAACTATAAGCTCACTTATAGTGAGCAAACCAGGCAGGGACAATGCCTGATTTGCTTACTGTCCTCCAGGACCTAGCTGGGTGTCTGGCCCACTACAGACTTTCAACAAATGTTTGCTGAATGAATAAATGAACACCTTTTCCTTTCACTCCCCTTATGCTATCACACCCCTTGCATCATCTCCTCGAAGACATTTCAAATAACAGCACCAGAATCTGATGCTTTATTTGTTGTTGTTGTTATTACTATTATTATTATTATTTTAATGTAGGCTCCACACCTAGCATGGAGCCCAACATGGGGCTTGAACTCATGACGCTGAGATCAAGACCTGAACTGAAACAGGCGTTGGTGGTATAGTGGTGAGCATAGCTGC